GAGCTCATTTTGTTATTTGCCAGGAAGTTTTAAATTCTAATACTATCTTCCTGTTTACCTGTAGCCCTCCCAGTTTCATGTCATCTCAAGGCTAACAAACATGTTTTTCAGTCATCTAGATCACCATGAATAATTTAGTACTATAGTAAGTGTTTTAAGTAGCATGAGAGGAAGAGGTGACAGGAATTCAGTGTATTTGATTAAATGGATACTATTTACAAGAAGAAAAGGCTCTGCTTTTCTACTCCTTTTTCCCTTCAATTAAAACAATACAATTTCATTTTTAAAGAGAATAAACTGAAGACTTTTCTGAAGATTAAAGTTTTTAGGGTAGTACTAGCACATCTTGCAAAGTACCACAAGTATCCAAGTAACCTACACTTTGGTTGAAGTTGCTTGTCATTGTTATAGTTTTGGGACAGATTGTATTTAAAGTTTAATTTATTGTTTCGTCAAAGAAAATGGACAAATGCCAAAGTAATTTGCTCCTATCACAAAGTTGGAAGGCATTGTCAAAGACTGAGCAAGCTATTATACAGAAAGGACTAGATGAGCTTGATGACTGGTGTTACTGGAACGAGATGAAATTCAGAACTATAAATGAAAAGTCATGCACTTCGGGGCAATCTCATATAGTACGGGAACACACAGCTGGAGGGTCACAGAACCACAGAATAATGGCAAATTGCCACTTGTGCCTTATAATGCTATGCTTTACCATTGAACAAAGGCGGTTAGTTAATTTTTACAGATTTCTGAGGAGAAACTGTCAATGTGTTTTTCTTCTGATTTTATTAACGAGGATTGTCTATAGATGAAGAGCTACTCGGCAGCCAGGAAAAGACTCGCAAGTTTCTCTTCGCTCTGTCCAATCTAAAATCCTTTACCCTCGTGTAGAGTTTCTTTACATATGACACTGAACACTTCTTCATCTCTACCCTTTACATGGGCCATGTGTTTCACCAAGTCATTAAAGGACAAGGTCCACTTCCAGCTTTCAGATGTGCCATGGCAGAGGGAGGATGGACACCACTAGTGATACAATTGTTCATAAAATGTACCCGTAGCTGTAGGTGGGAAGCCTGACAGCGGCCAGAAGTTACCTATTACCAGAATTAATATACTTATTTTGTATTTATATTTGAGGTAAATTTTGACAATGTTTGAACAATCGTTTTTAAATATAGGCTGTATTGGATTGGGTTTTGGTTGGTATTTGCTATTTAATAATTTTCCTTTTCTATCTCTAATAATTTTATCTGTTACATTTATTACAGCTATGTAGTAAATTATTTTAATATATTTTTAGGATTGTTACTAGCTTCTGCAGATGTATTACTGTGGTCTCATCTTTAGAAGTAGATATATTTCTCTTCTATACTGCAAAGATCATATTGCATTTCCTGTCTGGTCTGTCTCTTTAAAATATTTGTTCACTTTCTACAGCCTGTTAAGTCTAGACCCAATCTAAGGCAATGGGATACAATGCGTCACTGACTATTTCCTTTTAATCTTCACTTTTCACTGCCTAGCACTGTGCATGTAGATTGTATTGCACTGGTGGAAACCGAATTGAGATCTTGGGTAATTTCAGTCCTTTACAATAAGAAACAAATAATCAGATGCTGTAACTTAATATGCCACTAATAGAAGAATGAAGCTCCTTTTCCATATTGTGTGAATGAGCCCAGCTTTTCAGGTACTTGATTTACTGTAACTTTCATATATAAGCAGCTGCATAAACACATATGTGCATATCCACATGAATAAATAATCAAAAGGCTTTTGTAGTTAGAAGCTCCTTTACTCCTCCTGTGAGTCTGTGCTGTCTCACAATCCTCTTATTTTGAGACTTCAGAGCAGTTCCAAGTAAAAGTAAACTACAGTCCTAATTAGAGCCAGGCAGAAGTTTTCATCCAAAGCTTCTTTTTAACAACAACAAAAATTTGGTTACGTGGAATTGTTTGTAAACTTTTTGTTGATTTCATTGAATCATCTGGGAAATTAGAAAAGCCTGTCAGATGAAACACTAAAAAGACTTTCTTTTAAAATTATTTTAAAATATTGTGTAATACTTACATGAATCAAAACCAAGTCAATACTTTGATGTGTTTGAATTTGATAGATTTGCTAATTTGGCATATAGTTACTGAAAATTTCAAAAGCCCTATTTTGATTAAGTCAAACTGATCATTCTCTCACCATAATTACCAAAGAAACAAATTATCAATATTTTCACTCTCTTCATTGTTTCTTTTTCAAAGCCACAGTGGCATTGCTTCAGCTACTATATTCTTTCCTTCTCCAACTTTTCTCATTGTCATCCTTCTCTCAATTTAGAATGAACTTTTGCTTTTTATTGCTTTTCACAGCTATTTTTTGTCCTCTTCACAGCTGAAGGAAGGGAGATGGTAGGGAGTAAATGACTGCCAGAACATCTGAATATATAGATACATCAAGACCTGTGTGCTTGAAAAGTTTGGAAAAGATTTGTGTATGTGTGAGAGAGGGAGGGAAGGGCAGAAGGTCAATGGTGAGGTAGGAGAGAGGTAAAAAACTTTTATTAGTGCAACGAGAGAAAAAGGATGAAAATCAGTAAGCAAAGAAAATAGAAGGCAGAAGAGTGGAAAGAGGTAGGATGGCATCTTGGTGGAGTGGTACATAAAGGTGGTGTCTTACTGATCTACCACATGAAAGGAGGAGCTTACAATGCTCCCAATCACCTGCTGTAGCAGGGAGCAGGAGGAGATGATTTCTGTACAGGAACTTACCACTGCTGTGAACACTCTAAACTGCCCTCCTTCCCTCTCATTGCTGCCTTTCCAGATTTGGAAAGAGTACACATTGAATATTTTGTATGCATTTATTATAGAAAATTTACACAAGCTATGGTTTAAAATAATCTAGACTGACAGTAATATGGTTTCAGTAACTGCTTTGTTTGTACACAGCCATTGTAACCTCCATTTTTTAATTTCTCTTACTTTGCTATCCCTCTCACTTTCTTTCTGTTTTACCTTCACAGTTTTAACTGCTATGGTCTCCTCAACAGTAGCTGCTGTGTATTGAAAAGAATTTTTGAGAATCCTGAGACTTGGCTGGTTATATAAAATCATATATTTTAGTCCCAGAATCTCAGTTTAAGCAAATGTTTGAGCATGCAAAAATTCTTTACCATTTCTGATGAGAATTTATGGGTGTGTATCAGTACCATCTACTGGCAATAAGAGTTACAGCGCTTAGTAGGCTCACACAGGAAATGCCAGATTTGACTTCAATAACCAGGATCCTTCAGCAGGAAGTTAGGTGTGGTCTGTACAAGGAGAATTAAAAAAAAAAAAAAAAAAAAAAAAAAAAAAAAAAAAAAAAAAAAAAAAAAAAAAAAAAAAAAAAAAAAAAAAAAAAAAAAAAAAAAAAAAGACATGATGGAATTTTTAGCTGCAGTCTTCCTTGGTGCCATTCCAAACCCACATAAGTGCAAGATTCTTCACTGGTAATGAATTTTTAATTGTTGCCTGCAGTATTAAAACAATTTTGGTTTCTTGGTTTTTTTTTCCTTTTTCGTTCTGTAATTAAAAATATAATCTAACAAGAGTCTGCTGCAGGACCACTTTCATTTTTCTAATTAACCTTCCTGCTGCTACTAGTCAGTGCCGCTTCCAGCAGCAATTTGCTACAGACCGTCCATAACAGAATGCACCAGGTGCATTTTCCTGCAGTGGGAGAGCACGCTCAAGGGAGACCTGCAGGAGCTGGGATGTGTGTGGATGTTTGTGTAGGTGTAAATGGCTGTGTGCATATGGTTGAAAAGAGGGAGAAGACATCATGTTGCAGCTTATTTAACAGCCTTCAAAAATATGAGTTTGTTGCGGCTGTGCTGGAGTCTGTGTGTTATGCGAGGCAGTAAAATAGGATCCTGCTGGTTGTGTTCAAACTGTTGTATCATTTTAATTTGATAACTCTTTCTGGATATATTGTCTTACTCAAAATCTGTTGCTTTATTTCATTTGCTATATTTTTAATGTGTTTACTCAGAAGGACTCTAGAGAAAAATTCTTGGAGACTACAACAGAGATCCTGTTTGTGATTTCAGATCAAAGTATTTGCATTGGGAATATTTTCCACCTGTTCTTTTTAAGTGAACTGTCTGGAGACATTAAAAAGAGATGGTCCCGCTCTTGCTAGTGAAATTTATGAAAAATATATACAATTGATATCAGACATAAGAGATCTAAGTGTAGTATGTAATGATTAAAGAGCATTTTTATTCCATTCAGCAATTCTTCCAGTGCACAGCGTGTTGCCAGGCAGGGGATCTGTATACAGGTGCTTGTGCTTGAATCTTGTTTCCTGAGCTGGCAGCTCTGCAAAGGCAGCATATTTGTACCCGAAGAGAAGGAGCATCTCCTATTGCTTTCAACTGATCCCTCTGGCTTTACATGGTAGTAGTGAATTCTAGGAGTCATTTCTGGTCCATATAGCTAGAGAGAGGATTGGTCCAAGATGCAGCTTCCAGGATAATAAGGAGGTGAATTGTCTGGAGTCTTGCTTCTCAACACCGAATCAAACACTTCAGAACTGTTGGTTCCTCACACTGAATGTAGTGGAAAATATCTCCTACTTTAATCACTGGAATGGATAACATTACCCTTAATAAAGGCAAAAATGTGTTATTGTATCACATGTGACTTTTTCATTAGTCTATAGAACTGACAATCTATCGTTGCAAGCACTAAGTAAATTCAAGTGAATTTTAAACTAAATGTTTTAAGAACTGATACCTTCAAGACAACTCTAAGAGGCAAGCTGCAAAGGAAAATGGTTTGTCTTGAAATCTAAACAAATTTAAAAATTCATTTCACAGCAACCTCCTCTTGGATGATTATTGAATTTAACAAGATGTCCCACAGAAAATTCTGTGGAATTATATTCCTTTACTTGTTTGTAATGTCTGTGTTACTCTAAATTCTTTCTGTTTTTTTTTTTTTTATATATTTTAGCACTTTTTTTATGAGAGAGGCTAAACAGTAACTAAGAGGTGCAGGATGAAAAGATGGCACAATCAGTGCTGGTACCACCAGGACCCGACAGCTTCCGCTATTTCACAAGAGAATCACTTGCAGCTATTGAGCAGCGTATCAATGAAGAAAAAGCTCAAAAATCCAAACAGGAACGCAAAGATGAGGATGATGAAGATGGCCCAAAGCCAAACAGTGACTTGGAGGCAGGAAAGACACTGCCATTTATTTACGGTGACATACCTCCAGGAATGGTGTCCGAGCCCTTGGAAGACCTGGACCCATATTATATCAATAAAAAAGTGAGTGTATTGTATGTTTCTATCAGACTGTAAGGAAATTAAGTAACAAAAAACCCTTCACATAGTGTTTCTAGTTTTTTTGATGCAGCCCTTCAGTCCTTCCGTCTAATAAATTCCCCCATCAGCTGATCTGATTGGCAGAAATCTCCATTGTAGGAGCAGAAGTCAGTAATGCAAGTTTGCTGAACCTGATGGTCTGTCAGTAGAGGTACATTTAGATTTATTTTAATATAGCTGGCATTTTACAAAGACTGTAACTTTCAGAGTTTCACATGCAGGTGAATTGAACAAATAACACTGGCGTTATCTTTAGAATTATTACAAATTGTTGTATTACAGATGTGAAAGAAGCAGATCTTCAAAATGAAAACCATCTCAAAGGTAGCTAGGCACCTTGTTACTAGGTTTCTTCACTGTCGTGTGGAAAGTCTAGGTTGCAGTCTCTTGGTGCTGGGAAGGATAGAGAAGCATGTAAAGGTAATTTCTCAGGATATGATGAAGATATTTCATGTTGTACTCCATGGAGACATCATATATCCAACTTAGTCTGCTTGAAAAAGTTTTGGCATCCAGTTTTATATTTTTTTATGATTGTTTTCAAAGAAGAGGTGTTTAAAAGCGGGACATAAAGAGGAGGTAGGAATTGGTCTTAGAGTGTTGACAGACTGTTACATAATTTTAAAAATATTTCTCTAGAGATGCTAGTTTAAAAAAAAAAAATTTTTTTTTCTTTTTGTTTAAAGTATCAACAACTGCTGTGACCAGAACAAAAGTGCTGAACTTTAGAATTGTGTCCAGATGGCCTTGGTTTTCTTCCAGAATTTCAGTCCCTTAGATTTTGGCATCATATATATTGCACCATCATTATGATACAAGTAAAGAAGAAATTAACGTTTTTTTCTTGTTTTCATAATTTTTTTCTTGTGCTTTCTTTTCTTTTTCTGTGGAAACTATCCAGCGAATAAAACCAGGTGAATTTAAAAACAAACAAACAAAAACCATGAAAGCAAAGAAGCTACTTCAAAGAAAAATGAAGAAAAACCCCAAGAATTGTCATGAATCAAACTTGAACTAAGTGAAAAAATACAAATGAAGATATTTCCTGCAGGAATTAGGGGTATGCCTCATCAGTAATATGTTGAAGCAACAGTGATACAGGCATACCATGAGGAACTAAACAGAACAGCTCATAAAAAATCAGCTGTGCCTGAAATGTTCATTACAGAATTTCTAAAACTCCCTTCGTGTATAGAGAATCATGAGTTAAATTTGAAAACAAGGTTTTCAATTAAATATCATGTTCTGCTCCCTTTACTCAAGTGATTTACCCTGTTGAAGTCTGGAAGGCAAATATTATTTGGGTCAAACTTCTGATTCCTTCCTTCTTTACTTGTTCTGTAGTAGTAAAAATCTAAATTCAATGCCAGAAAACCTAAAGTTAGAGCATGTATTATCATGCTTTGGAAACTAGAAAAGTAATTCTGCAATTAAGTGTAGATGTGGGGTAAAATCCTGAGGAATGCTTGTTCCTGATTGAGAAATGCACAGCAGTTGTCTTGATCTTTTCCAAAAGCATAGTGGTTTCTAGTAGGAGACACAAGACTTCAAGCTGTATGTTGCAATCATAATTCCTCCTATTATTTTTCTTGGTGTTCTTTGAGTACCTTTAAACATCCTTGTTTATGTCAGGCTCCATTTTTTCTTTTTTAATATGCCTTGATGAATCAGCATCACACAAATGATACTTCATCAGACATTTTGCTAGAGTAAAGGGAACGGAAAACATTAGAACTCTGATTATTAGAGGCCATATTTTAATGGACTCCAGGAATAATAGTAAGAGAGTTGAAAAGTGATGGTAGTCAATGGCACATTGCAGACCAAACCTTTCTCCGCTACAATAAAGGACCAGAGTGTCAATTGAGAATCAGTAGTTGTGTGGGAATGCAAACATGCTCAGTTTGGAAGTCTGAAATCTATTCTTTCAGGCGGGGAGAGGCATTGCATTTTCAGGATTTCAGCTGCTCTGTTTGCCACACCTGCTCAGAAAAGTAGAGCATAAATCTTTACAAATGCTGCCCTCTGATTCCAGTTGAGGCAGATCATGGCTACTGGCAGTGTTCCAGGTCTGCATGGCTAATATGCCCTCTGGGCTTTCTAGGACTGCCACAATGCTGGCTGGATCCACTTCCTTTCAACAAGCAGGAACTTTGACCCATGTGTAGAGAGAGATGATAGGAATGGATAAGAATTTCTCCAAATGCGCGAGAATCAAAAGAATTTAAGAAGAATTTAAAGACTTTGTTCTTCTTTGTTTCCCACTTTTAAAGAAAATTCTTACGTTCAGAAATGCTTTTTTAAAAATGTTGGTAGTACACAAGTTACTGCTGAAACTTGGAGAGGCAGTGAAAATACATGGATTAGTGAATCCTGTATTAGATAAAAATAAAGCATGATTCAAAAAGAGAAAAAATTGCAAGTATAAAACAATAGTTGGAAAGGGAAGGAATACATTATTCAGAGTACAGCAAAAACTACTGAGTACATTAGTGTTACATTGAAAAACTTGTTGAATACTCTTCCATATTTTCATGATCACCCTTGAAATTTAGATACTTCGAGGTACTATTGTTGTTGGTTTCTAAATAAACTTACTAAAATGTTTTCATTCAATTATATTTATCATAATTTGACTGGCCTCTGTGATGTTTGAACTGGACAAGGGAATTGTGTAAATGAAAGAAGAGCATATTGGGCAAATACAGTTAATGATGAAATAAAAATTATTTTGGGTTTTGTAACTTGGTATCTTCTAAATGCTGTTTTTCATTCTGTTTTTCTTTTCCCAGACCTTTATAGTATTGAATAAAGGGAAGGCAATATTCCGATTCAGTGCCACCTCTGCCCTGTACATGTTAACTCCTTTCAATCCTCTTAGAAAAATAGCTATTAAGATTTTGGTACATTCATATCCTTTTCAAGTGGTTAGTCTAAAACTGTAATGAATGAGATGTTACTTAGTATTTAAATCATTCTCTGGCAGATGTCCCAGGATCAATATGATCTGTAGTGCTTTGTCCCTCTTCTATCTACTATTTCTGTCTTCTGATCTTTTTCTTATTCTCTTTTTACATTTGTGTTTATTGCTGGATCCTAATATAGTAATACCAGAAGCCAGACAACCAGTCATCGTCCTTTATAATTTCTTTCACTGTCTTCTTTCTTCCCCCACATATTTTTTCCTTTCCCTCTTATTTTTCCTGTAATCTTCACATCTTTTTTTCATCTTTTCCCCTCCTCCACATTTTTCATAAACTGCAGATATGTTGCTCAAAATACTTTCAGTTCTTCACTGACATTGTGTGTTAAAATCGTATCTTTGATCCCAGGTCTGTGCTTGCATGAATATTTAGTGAAAATATGGTTTCATTATTCCTTTTCATTTTCTTTTTCAGATAACAATTGCAGAAAGATAGATTCATAAACCAACTTAGGTTTCTTGTTTTATTATACATTCTCAGTCCTATATGTATCTCACCTGTCTGTTTTATTTCTTGATCATTACTGCACTATACACTCATAATCCTGTTGATGTTTTAGTTTCAGTCTTCAAGTAGGTCATGAGATTTCCACGTTGCAGGTAGAGATTTGAAAAGCTAAATTATTATAATTACTTACATATTATTTTGTGGTTTTCAATGCTATGATAGCTGCCTATAGTAGGCATCCTACTGGTCTGATCCCAAATGCTCTTGAGAGAAATGAAGGCATTGACTTCAGCAAGTCTGCTTACTTAAGGAGCAAATACAAATGTTTGCACACTTATTTTTACAAATACCTAACATACGCACACTGAAAGTAATTCTGTGTGTAGCATTGCATATGGGGATCCTAAGATCGTGTAGAACAAATCTTGAAAGGGTTTCTTTCAGTCTTAGTATAATGAAAATCTGGTAATTACCGCAGTTGTTTTGTTTTGGATGTTGTTACCAGTGGCTAGCCTACAAATTACTCCAGAATCAATCATGATACTACATAGCCTGTTTTGAATTTTCTTGCTATAGGTACCACTATAACTAGTTACTTTTCAATTATATAACACTCCTTACCATATTCTAGAGCATTATTCAGTTGTGTGGAATAATAGAAGACTGTAGGATTGAGATGGTGGTGAAGAGTTAGTCACTGAAGTCAGAATGTTAGAAAATGTTGTGGGAAGGTATAGTTATTTCTCCATTGAAAGAATAGTGAGGATTTGCAACTCTGAGAGGACATTTCATCAAGAAGGATTTTGAAAGCCTATGTAAAATGCAGGCTGGGAAAACTCTCATAGCATGAGTTTTTATTTTTTAAATATTCTTTTCTGTTCGTTTATGAATTACAGAACAAGAAGGAAGTTTCTGAGTAAGGGATTTAAAATATATTTACTGAGCAAAAACCCAAATAATTGTTGAATTTAATGCCACAGTTATTCCACAGTTCAGAAGGCAGAGGTATTTTTAGTCGCTTGAAGGTTTTTTAAATAATTGTAGACGTGCAAAGAAAACTTCATGAGGGAACGTCACTGTACTTCTCACTCCATTATATTCGGATTTCTGCTTAGGAGCACCACCGGAACCTCCGAGAGCTAAAGCTCTTCTCAAAATCGAGCTTTGTCCTCTCTCTAGTTTTAGGTGGTGGTGCCATCATGTGGACATTTTGTGATTCACCTGTATGGTTTTCATTTTAGTGGTTATGTTTTCGTATCTTAGAAGAATGTCAGCAATTCCGAGAGTGAAAGGTTGTAGATCTGGAGCAGTTCTGTTAAAATACATTATTTATGCCTTGGACCTGTTCAGGAATTCTTTTTAGGTTTCTTAACATGTGCCTTCCCTTCCAACTGCATTTATATTATAAAAGTCATATAGAAAGCAAACAGCAATAAAATACTTTTTTCCTTAAGATTTCCTTATGTTCTCTCCTATTATGTTGCAGCTAGCTTTAATGTATGTATCATAATGATCAGCAAAAATTTTATACATGCCAAATTTTATGGTGAAACATAAAAGTGAAGAAAATGTATTTTCATTCCTTTGTATGCATGAAGTACATCACATTTGTCTAGATCATCTAAAAGTAATAATTTTTGTATTATTCCAAGAAACTAGAAGCTACTACTTCAAATTTTCACATTTTTATTCAAAAAGAAAGACAAGATCTCCCAAAGATAGGGGTCTTTCTTTTTAGTATCTTTCAGATTTTCTGATTTTTCGTATATGATGTTCTCTTCCAGCTATAAAGTGGTGACTGTGAAAAATTTAACATATTCAGGGCCTTTCCCTAGGTATTAAAAGAGCTGGGGAGAGTTAAATAGCTCCTGAAAGCAAAAATCTACCAAAGAAGTGTGTTATTTGATACTCTTTTGTGAGATTTTTCTGGCTTACATTCCTTAACTCTTAACCTACATTATTCAGCATGCTTATCATGTGCACTATTTTGACCAACTGCGTATTTATGACCATGAGTAACCCTCCAGACTGGACAAAGAATGTAGAGTAAGTAAAATGAATTTTCTGTAAATAATATTCAGTAATCAGAAATAAACTGTTGTAAATTATTTTGTATTAGGATGGCATCCCCTGACAGCAGGTACCTTGTTGGCATATCCTTTCAACAACTATTTTGATGCTAGTTTCTTCACTGTAGCATTAAATACGTGTAATTGTCTCATGACAAGTTGTTTATTGTTCATCTTCTGTTTGCAGTATTAGGTGGGGGATGTAAGAAGAAAAGCTAGTCTTACGATCATACAGAAAAAGTGAATTATAAATGTTTTTTTTCTGCATTCTATGTTGCATCTGTGGAAGAATGCAGGCAAGGCGCTCTTTGATCTCAATTGCAATAACCATTAACAGATAAAGGGATTATCTTATGGATGACTGTATTCACTATGCTGCAGCTTTCTTTTACCAAAGAATGGAAAGCATGTATGCAAAATAAGTATTGAAATGGTTAGCTAATCATTGGCCCAACACGATGTCAGCTTGTTGGCTAATTGGTCCATTATGGTGTCAGCTACATGGTGCTGATGGACAATGACACTTCCAAGGCTGTAGACCGTGGTGTGAAACACTGCTCTTCATGGTGCTTCATTTTTGCAACAGCATTTTATGCTTCTGCTGCTTCTTCATTTTTTAGTGTTTGGGATGATACATACCTGTTTAATCTCCAGTAGTCAAAAGTGAAATCATAGGGCTATAAAAGTCAACAAAGGCATTCTCATTCTGAGTTCAGTGCGAACCTTTATGTCTGTTTAGCATGCAGTAAATATTTATGATAAAGATTGATTGCTTGAATATTTCTTCTCAGTTTTGTGTTGTGCCACTTAGATTTACAACACGTCCTCATCTATTAAGTAAAGTTGTGCAGGAGAGAAATTTCTTAGTAACTGAAAACATTCACACTGGAAAATGGTTTTCAGGTTGACTCAGTTATAAGCTTTTTAAGCAGTTTAATTTGAATTGTTTTTCATTAAGGATATAAATTAAACTAAATTTCAAGATATCTTTTGGACACAGAGGATTGAATTTACTCAAAATGCCAGAATTAAATATTTTTTTAAGTTACATTTCAACTACATTTTTTTACTCAAAATGAGTAGCTGAATTTTATTGGCATTCATAAATATTTTTGATTCTTGCCCATGATTTTGCATCTCAAGTGACTTGTTTCATTCCAGTACTGTATCTTGCTGAAGGTGAAGTACTAGATATACCTACTGTGTAACGAATGAGGGCTGACGAGGGTTGGCACTTGCAAGCTCATGGTACTAAGCAAATTTTCAGCATAAAAGAACACTGAGGAAAGAAATTTTTAATCTGGAAGCAATTTCTGAAATCCTACATAATCCATCTGTGTGTTTTGTTATGATATGAATTCAGACTGGACATAAACATGCAGCAGCAAAGTAACTGGGAAATTTTGCATCTCTCTTATTGGTGCAGATGACAGAATTTGAACTTAAGCTATGGATTTTCATTTAGTTTTTAAATCTTTTAATTTCTCCTTCCCTATTGTATAAATTATGTGTATGATTAAAGTTGGTTGTAGCTGCCATTAAATTCTTATGCCTCTTAAAGAGAAGAAAATGAGAATAAAGCAATTAGAAAGCATAAAATGTGACAATAACGTGTATACCTGTAAACTCTGTCTTGCATATTTTCTTCAGATACACATTCACTGGAATTTATACCTTTGAATCACTTATTAAAATTCTTGCAAGGGGCTTCTGTTTAGAAGATTTTACATTTCTTCGAGACCCATGGAATTGGCTAGATTTCACTGTCATAACATTTGCGTAAGTCTTCTACTTATTTTTTTTTTATAAAAATTCTTTCTGATATCATGAGATTAGTGACTAAAAATTGCCTCATATCTTGTCAGCCAGAACATTTGGAGCCTGGACTTCCTGTGGTTTCAATATGTTTCTTCTACCTCTTTTACACATTTTAGTATTTCTAACCAAGCATGTGCTGCAGAGGCCAGCATGGTGTGCCAGCCCCTTAGGATTGGGAATGCCATCAGCCTGAGCTGTTCATATCCTGTCTCCTTTCTGAATACCAGAATTAAAAGGAATCCTCTTGACTTTGAGCTAGTAACTGACCAAATTAGGTTTCAAACATCAAGTCAATGTGGTTTATTTTGATAAAACTTAATTTAATTTTATGGGCAGAAATATATTTATAACAAAGGCAAAATACAGTGAATGGTCAAGAGGTCTTGATCAGAGAGCCGAGCAAATAAGATAAAATCTGCCTCAATTCTGAGTAACTGTGATTTAATCCTACAGGTATGTAACAGAATTTGTAAACCTAGGCAATGTTTCAGCTCTTCGAACTTTCAGAGTATTGAGAGCTTTGAAAACTATTTCTGTAATTCCAGGTAAGAAGAAGTTGGTGTGAGGTGTTAGGCCCCTCGTATCTCCAACTGTTATTTGTGTGCTGTCATTGTGTTTGTGTGTGAACTCCCCTATTACAGATATGTGACAGAGTTTGTGGACCTGGGCAATGTCTCAGCGTTGAGAACATTCAGAGTTCTCCGAGCTTTGAAAACAATATCAGTCATTCCAGGTGAGAGCGAGGTTAAACACCGAGGCTGACTTTTGTTCTACAAAGGCTGTATTCACATTTTTAAAGCATAAGCCTTGTTTGCTACACATTGTCAACTAAACAAAAAAGCAAGAATCAAGACATGTAATTTTATTTAAATTGATTCATGCGTGTATGAGTTGTATGTTGTTTTTAAAAAAAAAAAATCAGCCTTTGAGTTTAACAAATTCTTGCATGGGATATTTGCAGTAAACAGCCTATGTGATTTGCATCTTATGACATCAAGCTTTCCTTTACATGTTTTAGATATAAGTTGATTTTAAGCTTTCATAGTGATGCAAATTTTATCATTTATTGAAAGCACTTGATACAGCAACTGAATTCAGTTTTAACTCATGTATGAAAAATTAAATTCTAAAGGATAGCATGGGCCATGCATGGGGTATTGTTTTAAAGATGTCTTTCTTCTCCAAACCATCACCCCTCTTATATTGTAAGAAGATTATTACAACGTCATTTAAATATGCACTTATCATGTCTTTATAATGGGTTTGCTAATGTAGAATACATTATAAAAGGTTCATATAAGAAAGGTTTGGGCAAGAAGCATCAGCAAAAAATGAACAGTGCTATTCTACATAGGGTTGAGATATAGCATGGATAACAGAAGCACTTGTTTTGGCATAAACAATGTGTTTGGAATTATCTCCTTTTTATTTCTGTACACTATAAAATAAGCATAAACTTACGTCTTTCATTCATCTTCACAAGTAATAAGGCTTTTCATTAAATTTATTGTATCACAAATATTTGAGTAATTTACTAGTTTTTTTGCATGAAATCTTTATCGGGGAAAAAATCACGTGAATTTTTTTTTTTTTTTTGTATGTGTATGTTTAGTATCTATGTAACATCATCATAAAAATCTTTTCTCTTTGCAGGCTTGAAGACTATTGTGGGAGCCCTTATTCAATCTGTGAAGAAGCTCTCAGATGTGATGATCCTGACTGTGTTTTGTCTGAGTGTATTTGCACTGATAGGGCTGCAGCTGTTCATGGGCAACTTGAGGAATAAATGCCTGCAGTGGCCTCCAGACAATTCTACTTTTGAAACAACTGTTATTGCCATCTTTAATAGCTCTATAGGTGAAAATGGTACATTTATTAATACAACAATGACAACATTTAACTGGGATGAGTACATCGAAGATGAAAGTAAGAGTTAATTATATAATCTGCTGCATTGATTTTCTGGAATTTATTTAAACAGATACAAGAACATCAGTATCTTTCTCTTGCCTTCAAAAGTGTGTAGCCTGGCCAACAGACAGGACAGAACTCATTTTCTCTAGCAAATAAAAGAACAGTCATAATGTAATCTAACATACTCATGATACCATACTGGATGCCAAAATATATTTTTACCTTTTACCCAATATGACTTTTAAAGTAAAATCATGTCTCAGCTTAAACCAGAAATTTCCATGCTAGTTTCAAGCCTCCTGAAGTAGTGTGACAACCCTAATATGGGATCTGAAATGTAATGGCTGGATTAGTGCAAGATAATGCCCACTGTCTATGATCATAAACCCACATTTGAACATCAGTTAGCCCATGAGTCCTGCCATAGCACGTCAGTGCAACTGTGTTGTTTTTTTACAACTTGGTGAGTGTCTCTGCATCACAGACTCTTGCACAGCACAGACATGCCTTTATGACAATACTCCTGATTTATCTCGTGCTTCTCATTCTTGCAAAATAAGAACTAGATTCCATATTCCTGTCTTTTAATTTGTTTCTTTTCTTTGGAAAATCAAGAAATGAGCATGTTGACCTCCTTTGTACCTCGTAATACAACATCTCTACTGTTTTAGGGAGTTAATGTCACTACTGTGTTAACAAAAATTGTTTTGAAATTCAGATAGAACAACTCTGAACATATCTGTAGTAGATTGCTATTCTGTCATTCATAATAGTAGTGACAGTTTCTCCTATTTATCTGTTCAACCTCTTCTGTTTATTTTAGTGTATTTAATGTTTTAACTTCATAATTAGGCATAATCTCAGGGTTTTTATTAAGTCTATATAAATGTTGTAACTGATGGCTATATCACTGAAAGGTAGAAAACCTCAGTTTAAGAACTAAATACTTTTGGATTCAAGTCTCACTGCCTTATAATCTTTTAATATACTTATCGTCTCAGCATACTTGTAGTATACAAGTGTCATGGAGAAATTTTGAATGATAACCCATCTGAAGAACAGATACATTCCATTCCCCTTTAGTTGTTTCTGGTACTGTATTACCAAATAGAATTTTTTTTTCTAAATATCTGACCTACATTTTCCTAATTTCAGCTTAAATATATTACTGCTTCTCCTGTAGAATTAGAAATAAGATAATCATGAACTTATTTGTATTAGTCTTTATGATCTTTAAAAACTCTTATCTTCTTTATTTCTAGTCTTTTCTGAGCCAAGCAATGCTATTTTCTGTTTTGCATTTTCTATACCTATTTTTACTTTCCTTTTGGACTCTTTCCAGTTAGTCTGGGAATTTTTTTCTTTTTGTTGTTTTTCCACTGCCTTTTTTTGTTCTAGGATTTGTTTGGTTGGGTTTTTTTATGAGACATTTAAACTGGGTACTTACTCCTCTAACAGTTACTTCAAATTTGTATCTATACCTTATGTGCCATATATGCAGCATTCCTACTAACACATTTCAAAATTACCTCAGGTTTATGTCAGCACTGTGTTGTTGATTCACAGTCAACTGTGACAGTCACTGCATCTTTTTCTACTGTGGTGGCTGTGGCTGCATCCTGTCTATTTTTCACTTACGTATTTGATTTTGCCTTGTCAAGTGTAACATTTTCCACTTGTCTCTGTTGAAATGAATCCAATTGCTTTCAGACCAGCTAGTCCATTTGTGAAGGTCATTCTAAATTTCAGTTACCTTCTCTCCTAGCTTGATGTCTTCAAAATACTTGATACATTTTTTTCTGTTGTTTCATGTCTTGAATTGGTAATGAAACTTGTTATGAAAACTGTGTCTAGCATAGATCCCTGGAGGATCTTCAAAGAGGTATCCTTATGAATTGACACTGGGTCACTGGTGACTCCTCTCTGATTTCAAGTATTTTGTGGTATTTCCAGCCAGAACATATCTCCTTTATTTGCATATGGAAGTGTCATGTAGGGCTTGTACACGACTGCTGTCTTGTTATTAAATTGGCAGGAGACAGGAATAGTTTTGTATATGGCATATTTTTTACAAAGTCACATTGACTGTTTTTATTACTTTATCATTTTTGTTTAAAAAAAAAAAAAATCTTCAGTGTTTTCCAAAATAGTTGGCTGAGAGTTGAGCTGACTGGATGGTTTAACTGGATCCTCTGCTTTCCAGAGGAGAAGCTGTGCCATATAAGAATGTGAATTTTGGAAGTCCTGCTTGGAGCCTATTTGCATCTTTAAACTTCCTAAATTTTTAAATTAGAGGTTAGATCTCTCACAGGATCTGACTATGTGATCACCAGAATGTCTGAAAATCCACTGATTTCTTCTTTGATATCTGAGACTAGATTGCTGATCTATAAATTATGCACATAATCTCTCTCTCTCTGTTTAAAACAAGCAGATTTTATGCTGCCTCTGTTGTATACAGGTGGTGACAGAGTAGAAGCAGTCAATAGGAACTGGTTGCAATTCCCTGCTTGTCTGTTTAGCATTAGTCCTCAGTTAGTTCATGCCAGCTAATATAGTCAGTGCCAGCTGGCAGTGAATCTCACAGAACCATCTGCTTCCTGGGAACAGCCAGAACATACCTAATTCTGGCAACTTTAGCTTAATAGGCCACCTGACCCAAAACTCTCCACTAGAGATTCCCATTTTACTGTAAGAATCCCAAACTAGGAATCGAAGGCAAATTGTTTTTCCCTTTCTGCCGTGAAGCAGAACAAAGAAAATAAAAGAATGTGTCAGGGGCTTTTAGGAGTTACACCTCTTTAAATTATGTTTTGCCTCATTTTAGTAGTTAGTTAAAAAATGCATATAGATTCTTCAAGTCTATTCCTCTGCTATAGAATTTCATGTAGTAATTTTGTGTAATGTACAGTAAAAGCTTGGTTCCTCCCCCAGCTGCTCAAATTAGGATCCATTTAGCAATTTATTGGGCATCTTGTGTTCTGTTTTCATGCTGCAAAATTCCAGTATTTTTTCAAGGAATACTTGGATAAAATAATATGTAATAAAAAATGATAAATTAATAATACTAAGTGTTCTGTATCAAAGTGCACAAAGGCAGAGAATTGCCCTCCTCCTTTGCATTGCTTTCCTGCTGCTTTTCTATTTGCTGACATACACAATTTGGTATTCCAGCCATTGTATATTAATAATTTGGTTAGGTTTCTGAGAATTAACTGTGCAACTACTTTTCCATTTTCTAAAGGAAGGCCACCTTTAAGACTCTGTAGAAAACCACTTTCTTGTCAAAACAGTATTTTCCACGCTTTTATCATTCCTAACCATTGCATATGGAAGTTAAAAAGTTTGTTAGCTCTGCTAATTTCTTTCAAGTGTGTAAAAGTCTATATAATTGCTCAATTTCCATTGGGCATAAATGTACCTTTCTCATCACCTTTTTGATTTTTTTTTTTTTTAATCAGGTCATTTCTACTTCTTGGAAGGACAAAATGATGCACTGCTGTGTGGCAATAGCTCAGATGCAGGGTAAGAAAATGTTCATCATTTTTCATTATGCATAAAGGAAAAACAATTAGCTGCTTAGAATAGCTCAGGTGGTCAACTTTAATATCAGCTGTACTGTAGAGTTACAAATTACTGATGTTTTGCCTTTGAAGCTATACCTAAATACAGCCATCTATGTGATTTGAGTTTACACAGGCATTTCCATCAGCATCTTAGGCTACTTTTCTAAAGGTAACCACATGAATGCAATGTGCATAAATGTTACTGCCAGCTGTTTTTCATCTGCCATGCTACTTGATGTTCTTCTCTTGTCCTGGTGAAAATGTGTTATTATGACAAATTTTGGGGAAGGGTAGGTAGAATAATACTAATTGTATTATTAAAGCATGGAAATATCATTAGGAAATGGAATTAAAAATTGAAAAACGATAAGATATATATTTTTATCTTAGGTATGTAGAATAAAATTTTACTTGTTCATAGTTTTGTTAGCAACCGGTACTCCTGAACAATTTTGTTTTACTACAGCATATGGTAATATAGAGTAGTTGTTAAAAATAGCATTTCCTCTTCTTTTGTAGTCAATGTCCAGAAGGATATATATGTGTGAAAGCTGGTAGAAACCCCAACTATGGCTACACAAGTTTTGATACATTCAGTTGGGCATTCTTGTCACTGTTTCGATTGATGACTCAGGACTTTTGGGAGAATCTTTACCAGCTGGTGAGGACTTATTAAAATAAACAGCACCATCACCAATACCATTACTACATAGTACTTGCATAGTTATTGTCATTCACATGTCCCTAAGGCCTTTGGACCAGATATCATCTTTAATTTCATATATGTAAGCTATTGTCTTAAACAATAAGGCCCTTATTAATGATTTAAGTTACCATGTGCTACTTAAATACATAATAAGGAATAGCTTTTATGAAGGTGGTTAAACTTTATTGTTTGTTTTCTGTGTAAATGAACTTAAGTTGTTCAAGTTTCTTACCCAAACATGCTGTAAATAAATGCTGGTTAAATTGATCTGCAATCTAGTAAAAATATGTTGTGTTTGAAAAGGTTCCATCTTGTCCCTGAACTACACATATCCTTAATGTGAAGGACAGTAATTTTGTTCACTGTGACATTTTATATACTGCACTGTCTTTGTGGCAGTCTAGTTTGGGACTGATGAGACAAGAAGGTAAGATGCTGATTGGCCCCACTACTGTTAAATTTAAAGGCTGTAAAGTAGATGTATGGATTGTTATTGGTATAAGTTCTGAAGTATTCAGAATCTGATTTCCCTTGACAATAGTAGACATAAAATTTGGATTTTTGCATATATATTCAGGATATAAAATTTGGATTTTTGCATATATATTCAGGATATATTATTGTTTCTATATGGAATAAGTAACTAAATAGTCTTGTGCTAACACAAAGCAGTCTTATAATGTATTTATAGATTATGACACAGAGGCTACCATATTATGTAACAGTATTTAAAGTCTGCTAAAAATGTGTATTATCTCTTTTTCTCCAGACACTGCGTGCTGCTGGGAAAACATACATGATATTTTTTGTTTTGGTCATTTTCCTGGGTTCTTTCTACCTGATCAACTTGATCTTGGCTGTGGTTGCCATGGCCTATGAAGAACAGAATCAAGCAACCATGGAAGAAGCAGAACAGAAAGAAGCAGAATTTCAGCAAATGCTGGAACAACTGAAAAAGCAACAGGAAGAAGCTCAGGTATCCCTATAAAGTAAAATTTCTTCTTCCATTCATGAGTGTGATTGGATGCTTTACGTCCACGTATGAGAATACTTTTACTCTCCTGCTCCTAACAATGTATTAGTCTGTCTCATAAATTCCTTCATATTGCAAACAATCTTTAGTGTTTTCCATTGCACTATTTCTGCTGGCTCGAGTGAATCTGTTAATTTGTGAAAAAATTATAACCAACAAGCTAAAATACTAGATTTTCAAATTGGAGATGGAAATCAACTTTTTAACTGAGCACTTGAACAGTTTGCCCAGAGTGCTTGTGCAGATAATCAAGAGCAGTCTGGATATGGTCCTTGGGCAGCCTGCTTCAGGTGAACCTGTCTGTACTGGAGAGTTGGACACGATGACCTCCAGGGTTTCCTTCTAACCTCAGCCATTCTGTGATTGTCTGAAATGGTGATGGGGATGTGGGAAAACCACCCCAAACAGTAATTCTGTTTATATAAGTAACAGAATCAAAACTGTTGTAGGTACTATAGGAGAAATATTTTGCTTCAGCAAAAATCATTGTTTAGTTGCTCTTTGTTGGGATTGTTTGGTTTGGTTTGGTTCTTTACCACAGCTTGTAAAGAAATGTTAATAAAATGCTCCACATATTTTGAAAACCAAACAGCAAAAGATATCTAATAGTCTGTACTTTAACACAAATCTCTGATTATGATCTGCCAAACTGAGATATCAATGCCACACCAGATCTTTAATAGACTAGAGAGTATTCAAAATCCATCAAAATGTAAGAAAGTGTTGCTTCCTCTTAACAGGGATCTTACCGATTGCTTAAGCCTTGAATCCTTACTTCTACAAAGTATTTCAGATGAAAAATTCATTGCAACATGTTGCTCCAGTTTAAAACAGAAGCTTATTCACTTGTTTATCTGACAGCACAGTTTTCATCGGGTTACTCTAACTCCTGGTTTATGGAGCAGTGGCAAAATTATGGTCCTTGTGGTATTTCACAAATTATTCTTCTGGCAATACACTGGGTTCAGTGAAGTGGAAGCATTGCTTTTCTTTCAAAATAATAACTTTTGTTCTAAGAATGGCAATAAATGTAAAATAGTGAGTGGTGTTTGTTTGTGTATAAATGCTGTAAATTGCGTATGTGCTTGTACGTATAGGCGGCAGCAGCAGCTGCAGCAGCTGACTCAAGAGATTATAGTGGAGTAGGTGGAATAGGTGGATTCTCCGAAAGTTCTTCTGAGGCATCAAAGCTGAGCTCAAAGAGTGCTAAAGAGAGAAGGAATAGAAGAAAGAAAAAAAAGCAAAAAGAACAATCTGAAGGCGAGGAGAAGGATGGGGAAGAATTTCACAAATCTGGATCAGAGGACAGCATCAAAAAGAAAGGTTTCCGATTTTCCATTGAGGGAAATAGACTGACATACGAAAAGAGATTCTCTTCCCCGCATCAGGTACCATAGTATTATTACCTCTTAAGCACCTTTGTTGTCTACTCACCATATAAATAAACCCTGTAAAGTAGTTTGGTTAATTCTTGCAAGATACCACAGATTCATTAGCACCTTAAATCAAAATATGACCAAGTTAAAACTTGCAGCCAGATATGAAAGTGTAAGAATTTGAGAGATTTAGGGTTTATTCTAAATTTATGTCTGAAAATTTAAAATTTTTTGTGTAATTAACACGAGCTGTATTTCAAATTTCTTAATTAAAATAGACCTATCTCCCCGTGAAGTTGGTTATGTTCAGCATGATCAGTGGCTTCAAAATATGATGCACACATACAAAGAAATGTAATATTTCAAATGAGAAAAGCACTAAAATTTGGGATGCAAAAAGGTCATCAGAAATTACGTAAATGTTCATGTGAAATTTGAAAAATTAATTGATGTGAGACCACTAATTGTGTTACCTTAAAGAAGGTAGAAATATGTGTGGCAATGTGTCCTTGCATGTGTTCTCTTACATTGAAACACCAGTGATTCAGAGTGCCATCTGCATCCCCCATCCAGACATTTATTTCCTTTGATAGTTCTGTTATGTTATCCCTTCTGCAGTTTTCAAAGCTCCTCTTCATTTGCCCACCTCTCACTCTCCCCTCAGTGCTTTAAGTCCAGATCTCACATACATTCTCTCATTTTTCTGCCTCTTTTTGTACCTCAGTATGCTTCTTCCTTTTATCCCCACCTTCTCAATTCTCCCTGATCTTTATGACTTGCTTTCTCCCTCTTTTTAGTCATTATTACTAAACTCATTCCTGTCTTTTTTAATCCTCTTCTAATTACTGCCTCTGGAAAGCCTGTTTCATCCTTTGATAGATCATGAGCATTCATATTCTCTTCATGTATCATTTTCTCCAGCTCCCATTCTCAAAGAAGCTCAGACCTCTTCATCCAGTGTTTTCTTATGAAGGACTGTCCTTCTTAGATCAGACCATGGTGGGAATATAATGTTTCCAACTTTCTATTTCTGCTACTCCTTCCACTCCCTATTGTACTTCCCCCATCTCACCTCCTTGGTCTGACACCATTTTATGTTGTTAACTGTCTAACTAATCTCTGTAAGACTTCATTGCTGAATTTAGTTAGTTCGTGATTCATTCTGTTTCTTATACAAATTTTCACACCTGTATCAATTGACTTCAACTTTGTGTTGAAGACCCATCCGATCCCTTAGGTGCATATTCTGGCCTGTGTCTTCATTCAAACAGCAGCCTTATTCAACTGCAGATCAGTTCATCCATCTTGTGAGAAATGAAGCATTCCTCATATAACTTCCTCTTCTAACCTTTTCATCTCCCAAGTTCATTTACAGCTGTATGACTATGATAGTCTAGAAATACCCTCCCTTCTGGTTTTCCAGCCTTAGTTCCTTTTCATTCTTAGTTCTAACCACTAAACAGAAGTTCCGCTCACCAGTTTTTTCCTAGAGAAAACTCAGTTTTATATCTCATCTTTGACTTTTTCCTTGACATTTCATTTTCTTTTGGTGTAAATGACCATTTTATTCCTCTTGAAAGCTTATTCTTCCTAACATTCATGATTTTGTGTCCTCGCAATTCTCCTGGTTTAGCTGTGCTTTAGAAGATCCTTTTACCCCTTTGAAAATTTCAAAGGGATTTCCAAGAGGCCTTTTTTTTTTCTCTCTCTCTTTTTTTTTTTTCTTTTTTTTTAAAATAAACTCTATTCTGGACCCACAATTGTGAACCATGTCTACCTCGGGCCTCTTTCCATTTCCCAATTACTGCTGTATTCATCAAGAATGTTATTGCAAAAAGCACTAACCTATCCCATTGCTTTTATCTAATCTGCTAGTAAACATATTTACCTAAAGAAATTTTTTTTAATACCATTAAACATACTGTACCTAAAGTTCCTCCCAACCTACCTTGTCTACTTACAGTAAACAAGTGAAATCCCAGCTTTGACTGACCCATGCCAGCATCCATAACCTGCTGTTAAATTTTCAAACTAGTTTCTTTGAGCCCTTTCTGGTATGCTGCCCCTCATGCTTGGAAGAAGCTCCCATGAGTTTTCACAGAACACTTCATTGCTTTCCTCAAATCCCTCTTTAAAACTCTCTTTTACCATGCTGCCTACAGAAAGCTTGACAGGGAAGTGACTTCAGGTGAGCTAAGATGACTGTTTATCATACTCATCAATTTGCCTCCTTGTATTCCCTCTCTTTTTGTATCCATCTGTTGTGTTACACTTAGATGATAAGTTCTTTGCAGAGTGCCTTTTTGTTCTGCATTTTGCAGTATCTAGAACAGTGGGGCTCAGGTCCACAAAGTTGCAGAAGAGAAACAAAGACACTGCTTTGACTGCTTTGTTATGTACCATCTCTGCTGTTCATAGAGGTCTTGGGTGAAATCAGGTGCTAATGCTAATCAGTCAAGTCAAGGCAATAACTGATATGAATTAGAATTAAGAATATGTATAATTATTTGTAAGATTAGAGCATTATTTTGATTGTGACCCTGATAAGATCCTCGCATAGCAGAACATTTACTCACATGAGTAAACTGATGAAGATTAGCAAAGCTGTTAATACAAAATTACAGGCGCATCTTTGCGTATTCAGCATAGCTAAGACTTTGAAAATTAAAATCTTGTTATGGCTTACTTGCCTAGTATCTAAAAAGATACGTATTTTTTTAAACTAGGCAGTATTTGGGAACTACCTCTGCATGCAGAATGAATCACAGGAAATTTGCCTAAAATTTTATTTACTCAGCCTGTCAGACTTCTGCCAACCTGGAGTAAATAGTGTCTAGATACACTAACTCAGTTTATGAACAGTTGGTATATATATATATAATATTATATGTAATGGCCAGTCTTCGCGAACGAAG